GTCCCTTTGTTTGCTCTGCGGGGCAGGCTCGGCGGTGGCTGCGTGCACCCCGACCCGGCGCAGCCGCCCGCCCGATGGTGCGGTCACGGATTCCCTGGCTCAGGAGAAACTGATCCGAAGTGCGAGTCGAACCATGGCTCTGGGGAGGACTCTCATCCCGAGGCGTTTCCTCTGGTGTGTCCTAGGTAAGCGTGAGCCTGTGCGCGCTGTGTCGGAAGGAGCGGGCATTGAGCGGACGCGGCTCGGTAGCGCCCCGAGAGCGAATCTCTCGGGAATCGGATCCGTTGAAGCAGGAACCGCGCGAACTAATTCGTGGGATGGGCAGAATTTGCACTGCCTTTGCTTGGGCACGTCTGTGGCGGCTCTCCGTTCCTCGGAACTTGGGGCGAGATTCATGAACAACTTCGGGGCTTTGGCAGCCCCGTTCGCTGCAGGTTGCTGAAACCAGGTTGCTTGGCAGGATTTTTGATCCTCTGCTGACTTTCCTATGGCGCTGTTATCTCGCCGGACCTCTGTGTTAATCCGTTTAATCGCTGGACTGAGCAAGCAGCGGAACTAGTTAAACAGGCTCGCCCAAGGCTTAACTCTTTTGCGGTTCTCTCCTCGGTTTGGGTGATGAGGTTGTACGGGGTGCAGCTGTTACCAGTTACTCAACATGTTACTGCTGTTCCCAGCGGTACTCTGTCATAACTGCGAAGTAGAGCCTAATGGGCACATTGACTCGTGTGGTCCCCAAAGTATAACTATGTAGAATAGGTAATTGCAAATGTTATGCTTTAACTGCTGATGGGATAACATTCGGGGGGGGGGGGGGGGAGCGACTGAAGTAATCTGCTTCTCTGTTCACTAAATGAAGTCCTCTCTTTAGATTGTCCTATCATTTCTATCCGTAGGAAGGAATCATGGCATTGAAACCTCTCACCGCAGGACAATCCCTTTCTTCGCACATGCAGTGTAAAAATACTGTAGCGGACTCACTGAAAGCTCTGCAGTTCAGCACGCTTTGGGGATTTTTGTATGCACGGGCTGAAAGAATTTTTCTTTTGTCCTAAACCTAAGCACTGACATTGGGTACCATTCTCCTTTTACATTCTTCATTGGAACATCACTAAGTGGCAGTCATCTACTCTTAACTGCAGTTTGACCTAAGTGCAAAAATAGGCTGTATTTTGAAAGAATATAAGGAATGAGGGTATCTATTTAAATAGAGGGAAAATTAGAAAATCATTCTAAAATAACATGGAATTGAAATGAAATATTTACTTCCGTGGCTCCCAACAAATCAGCCGGTAATGCCACCCAGATCAGTCTGTTTTGGATGTAATTTTCTGCTTGAAGGAAGGTCTGCTTTCTAAAGCAGGCTATGCTTACAGTTCTTTCCATTTAAAAAAATTTCTCAAATATTTATAAATGGATTTTTCAACAGTTGTCTCTATTTCTGACACACATGCAGTTAAAGGGCCCAACTGGAATTACCTATTTTGAGACTTGTTTATATCACTGAGACTGGGATTGTATAGTATATAGTCTATTTTCAATCTGTCTCTTTAAAATTAGTTAGGCAATTTTTTCTGTTTCTTGCTTAATTGTTTTCATGTGGCATCATGTATTTCTCCAGGTGAAACCGATAGAAACTTGTCTATTGTTTTGCCAGAAGTTCCTGAAAGTCTGTTGCAAAAAGCTTTGAAAAGTAATCTATCTTGGAATGCTTTATAATAATGATTATATTTATTTTAGATTACTTACCTATTAAAAGGAGAGCCATATTAGAATATGTGTGATATTGACTTGAAATACAAAACCTTAAGGATTATATGAGGAAATGGAAATGTTTTTCCTATCTTCAATTCTTCCTTGTTGTTTTCCTTCTCAGAACCCTAGTAAATAATGTATTGAGCTGTCTAATCTGTACAACGTAATTAACTATTTACCACTTTTTAGCTTGTGACTGTTCACAGAGAAATAGAAGACAGTACAAGTTAGTCAAAACTCATTCTCCATGTTTAGTTTTAGAGATCCCTTCATTGTACATGACTAAATTGTTCTATTCAGCAACTATGGTATAAACAATACGCAGTGAACACTAAGATTACTGCCCATACATAGGCATTCTCGTTTACCCAGGACAGTTGTTCTGAAGTTTTATTTTAAACTGGAAATCTGCATGCCAGTTCTTATCAAAGCTGATGTTAAGAAAATTGTCGATAATTTTCGAAATTGTTAGCTGCAGCTTTGTTTTATGTTTTAGAAACTCTTAAATTGACTATTATGACAAGATGCTAAACCAATATGAATCAGTCAAATCAGTGACAATTCTACCTGTATGTTGGGCTTACCCATCCAAAGTGCAGAGCCTCCAAAATGCTAATTAACTTCTCTTCATCTCAAAGACTTAGACCTGTGCATGTCATTTATTTTTCTAGAGTTAGCATTGCCCTTTGATAAAATCATCCTGGCCATGTAGTCACCAGTCTGGACAACCAATTGAAATAAACCTCAAGTCCACTATGTAAAATCTGCCTATTTTGAAGCTGCTGTTTATTGTACAGTAATAATTTAAGTTCCCAGATATTCTCTTTTTCTTATGCTCATGGAGCAAATATATTGAAATCCTTTTTTGCACATATTTATATGATATTAATCTCTGCTCTATGAAATGGAGGGTATGGTAGTGTACTGCAATTTAAGCATCACTTCTGAAATACCTAACCTATAATGTGACACAGCTGGATGGATTGTTAGCTGTGGGGATTGAACCTGGGACCTTTGGCTCCAAAACCAAATGAGCCCCTACTGCTTGAACTGAAAGGATTAGTTCTATTAGCTGAAAATCAGAGGCTGACTTGTAAAACCATGTGATCCAGAAACTAAGAATGAGTCTAGACAGCACTGTAAACTCAAAATAGGATATGCAATTTGGGCTATGCAAATTCATATCTTATTTTGAAATTTGGCACATCTACACAGCACCAAATTTCAAAATAAAGCACTATTTCGAGCTATCCCTTATTCCTCATTCAACAAGGTTTACTGGGATGATGAAATAACACAACCGTTATTTCGAAAAATATTTCCAAGTAACGGGTGGCTTCTGTAGGTGTGGGATAGCCATTTCGCAATACCTCTGATATCCTGAAATAGCTTTTCAGTGTAGACGTACCCTAAAGGACAGAGGGTGATACTGAATGTGGGTTGTACATTGCCCTGAGAAGGGAAGCTGTCCCAGCTGGGTAATATTAGGTTATGTACAGCACCACTGGTTCAAACACTAGCAGGATCAACTCAGTCCTTCTTTCCATGCCATGTATATTTGAGTGCAACACAGCTGATTGCTCCGGTGTCTTTCAGATGTGAGGCCTTACAAAAGAGTAGTGACAAGAGCATGGACTCTCTAAAAATAATCACATTCTCACTCAACAGATCTGATACCTGTTTGTGCCCTGAGGCAATTGTTTATGGTAGCGATAAATATAGGCTTTTATTATTATTCCTGCAGAAATAGCATAGCTAGGAGAAAGTGAACTGTATTCTCTCTGGACAGTGTACCATTATCAGTAATAAAAGTTATGTATGCCAATTCTTCCTACAGTTACACCTGCACAACTCCATGTAAGCATTTATGGGGCTGCACAAATGTAACAGGGCTAAACGTTGACCTGGAGAATCTGTATTGCTGCTGCTGATGGATGAGCCAGAAATAATTCAAGTTGACTCAAATCCCATGTTGAGGTTGCAGGGCTGGCAGGGGGAAAATTTTTTTTTTACTTGTAAAATGAGCAAATGTGCTTTGCGAATCATTGAGACACAGTAATATGACTCCCTTCTGGTGCTATTTCTACAAAGTCGCTTTTAAGTAGCTGAATCAAAAACCAGGACTATGAAGCACTTTAAAGACTAACAAGATAGTTTATTAGATGATGAGCTTTCGTGGGCCAGACCCACTTCCTCAGATCAAATAGTGGAAGAAAATAGTCACAATCATATATACCGGGAAACTGCACTTTAAAAAACAGGATCTTCCCTATTTTGCATTGATCCTAAAAAGGCAGGGTTTTAATTTTGTGTTTCACTAACAAACATTTTGTTTGTTTGTATTAATGGCCAAAATTTCTTCTCTCCCTCACTATTGTACTCAGTACCAGCTGGCTGCTACATTCCAGTAGTACTACTTACCTGGGCTAGCCACTTGCTTCAGAGGTTTTAAAGTGAAGTGTTGTGTACACACATATTCCTCTCACATATTTATACTTGATTGTATAAAGGTTTTATTGGCTCATGTTTTGGGTGGCCGCATTACTCACAAATAAGTTATGCAGAGCATGCCAAACATATGCATGTTACCAAAGCACACCATCATTATTCTACAAAAACAGATTAGAAACCTTTTAAATGTGACCTAAAATGGCTCATCAGAACACACAATTATCGTGCCTTTTGAAGTCCATTTATCTCTGGATCTTCTATGGGCAGAATCAAGTTCTATGTGTACCACTAAGAGTTAGGAATCTAGCCCTTCATACAACTTTCATTTCTAGAAATTCAGGGTGTTGGAATATTTAAATTTAACTTTTTACTAAATCCTCAGACCAGTATAATGTGGGGAGGAGAAGAAATGTTACATCTGAGGAAAACATTTGTGTAGCAGGTTAACTTAAAAAACAATAGACAGTTGCTTAACGCTGCTCCATTAGGTGGAATTTTAGACAGGCCTGATAGAGAAAGATTAGTGAACAGAACACAGTTGAAATGGTTCAAGGTATGTGCTAAATGCAGTTTGTTACAGAGGGCAATGAAAAACAGTACTTCTATTTTACACACTCTCTCTCTCTCCTCTCTGATGAGTGTATTCCCTGTGTTTTCTATAACTTTTTCCAATTGTCAATTAATAGAATCTAAAGCCAGAAGGGATCATCATGATCATAGCCTGACCTCTTGCAAAACCCAGCCATAGAACCTCAACCAGTAATTTCTCCATGGAGATAACATCTGTTTTAAGCAATAGCATATCTAGAGATCTGGTCTTGATTTAAAGGCATAAAGTGATGGAGAATCCACCAAATCTCCCAGGAAGCTGACCCACTGGTTAATTACTTCTAATTAACATTGTGTGGTCTTGTTTCTTACAGGCTTCCTACAGATGAAATGAAAAAACAAAAATCATGCATCTAATGAAGTGGGTTCCAGC